ATTATCATATTTAGGATATAGGATCACACCTTGAACAGTTGATGGAATGATTAATAGTATTGGTTTTAGAAACTCATTATGATTACTGATCAAAATCATAATTATTTTAAAAATTTCAATATTAAAAGAATTGTAATCTTTTGAATTATTATACAAACGAACTGCATTTAAAAAATTTATAAAAGCTGTGGAAATTATCATGTCCTTTTCAAATTCAATCTTGGTTGGTTTATAACCCAAAAATTTTGAATCATCATATATTGATATTACTGGAATACCCCATAAAATTATAGTTGTTAATCCTTGTAGAATTGCCTTTGTTGTTTTACCACATCCAATGATCATTCCAATTGCACTGAGAGTTATACTTAAAAAATTTAATATAATTATAAAATCAGACTCAGTCACTTTTCTCTTTTGATATAAAGACCATGAATGACTGCAAATGAAAATATCCAATACTAATAAGGATGCATCAATAAGATATAAGATAGAATTAGATTCATTAATATTAACAGCAGAAGATGAATCAACATCTTCATGTAATAAAGGTGGTGGAAGAGGTGAAGGGGAAATTAGAGCATGAGAAGAAGAAATAGTGGAAGTAGTGAGAACAGTTGAGGAAGTGGAAGTAGTTAAAGGAGAGAGTGGGGGTGGTGGAGCTCTAACGATAGGAATCAAAAATAAACATAACAAAAGAATGATTAATGTGAATTTTCTAGAAAAGAATGTCAGTTTTTTAATATTAAAACTTTCCATTGGGGAAAAAAAATAATGATAATTTCATAATGCTTTGGGAAAGAAAATTTTAAATTAAATCTTTATGTTTACTAAAAAAGAAATATTTAACATTGTTTGTAATTGCAATGTTCGTAGGAACCAATTAGGTTATACAAGTTGTGTACAACAATATTGTAACAGTTAACAAACTGAATAGGTGCTTCCAATGATAAATGTCATCAATTTTATTTACTCTTCTAATGGCATTCTCCGTTTCTACTACGTACAACCATTTTACCAGTTTCAAGATTGAGTTTATTAGTGTCACACTGAACATCACATGAGCACCATGTATAATGATAGTGATTTGAATATTTATTTGAGTATGGAATATGTACTGAAAAATCCCCACTCTAAAAGATGCGTTTTATTTTATTAGAACTATAAAAAAACTTGAATATTTTGAACGATTTTTGGAAAATTTCTGTAATTATCACCATTACCGTTTAAAATAAGTAATAAAAAAACCAATAAAACTGGTCTAACTGAAGAATGTCCCAAAAAGTAAATCAAAGTTTCATAGGAATGAACTGATTCCTTAAAAATTAAAAATAGGATAATGACAATGACAAATGACAATGACATGACAATAACATAGACAACAATAATTGAATTATCATTAGAATAAAATAATTTTTTGGGAACAAATTTTTTACTTTTGTTGGGTGTTTGATTTAAAAAAAGAATCAATAATTCTGATGAAATTGGTTCCTTTGATTCCTTGTATATCAAATCAAGTTGAATAATATTGTTGAAACTTTCTTTATGATTCAATTAAATAAATGCCTGTTACTATATAAAGTGTAAACTAACATTGTTACAAATTTTCGTAGAATTTGTTTAGTTTAGGACTAAGAGAATTCATGATTTAATTTCTATCATTATTATTTGTTTGAAAATCCAAAGAGAAAATATGGCCTTTATCATAATTGAAGCAATATCTGATTTTGGTAAGTTTTTGCTGATAAAGTTCAATAAGAAGTATGACTATTTTAGATATAGCATAAGCTTTTTATTATAAGTTATAAAGACCCAGATTTATGCGGCAACAAACATCAAATTATGCATTATATTTTTTTTATTAACATTTTATAATAAACTTTATAATCTCATTAAAAACAAATAATTTTAGATAAACATTATTTGTTATAATATAAAACATTAAGCATTTCTAATGAATTTTCTGAAAGATCATGTCGTCTATCACTTGAAATATTTTTGTAATATGAAAAGCTTTATTCCACATCCACCCCAGATGTTGGAAGTCATATACACTCTAAAGCAATCCTAGAAAGTAATGGTAATATTTGTTGTTTATCATTCCAACATTTATTTAAATCTAAACTTTCCTCAAAAAATTCATTATCTCCACAATAAATAATCCATTCATTGATGAATTCATCTTCTGGATTTATAAATTCTTTGATATATGAATATAACAAAATATTTTTTTGAGATGAAGAAGTTCTAATAAATTTTGGATTAAAAAGTGGTAATGCTGAAATGTCTATTAAAATGTTTATCTAATTTGTTTTAGGCAAGGTTAAAGGCTTGAGAAAATGTTGGTATTAAAGATTCTTCTGATACATTTTGAATTCAATAATACTTTGATTTAAAGGAGGATTTTCAATGCCAGCTCTTAATAAATTCTTTATATTTTCAACGCATAAGAAAACATAAGGTGCTATATCCTTATCGCTAAGTCCTGGATCAATCTATTTTATTTTTAAAGTTATTATTTATTGATAATTAAGAGGAAAAAAGATTTAAAATTTAAAATTCTGTTACCTTGCATTTAAAGTTATAAACTTAATGATTAAATGCAAATAAGAAATTCTATGAGGATTTGAAAAACTTCATTTAATTGCATGATAAATTTTGGTGCATCAGAAATTAATGATTCTTTTGGAACTAATGAAACCAAATGTAAGAAATTAGTATCTAACCAAAATACAAAATTAAACCAACTATTCCAGCGAGTTTTAACTGGTAAAGGTGGAAGCTTTGAATCTCTGTCAGATCTGTTAAATGTTGTGGCCGTCTTCAAAATTCGCTTAATAAGGTGAAAATGTTGATCGCACCAAAAACCAAACAGAAATTTAGAAAAAGACAGTTAATAATATTAATACGCGCACAATTCCCAATAAAGCACGTGTGTTAAATAAATTTTTCGTGGGAGTATATTTTTTAAATAATATCAAATATCCCAAAATTCAAAATTATAATAAACAAAATGCAATGTTATGGTCTTATTTGTGTTTCTCCCGATTCTCAAGAAA